TTCTCAGAATTCTTACCTTCTAATTCTAGTGCTCCTTCTGCACAAGCAAGCCCTCTCTGACCTGCTTTATCATTTCCTCTTTACACTGAGCTCCAAGTCATGCTTCACTGTATTAGTCAAAGCACGACAAACCGACAGTTTTCCTCCTCCATTTCAACAATCACTAGGATCTGTTTTGTCTTTTCAGGGTTTTACATATCCCATTAGTCTTCAGTACCTCCCTTATTTACTTATTTTTAAATAAATAATATAAATAAAGTGAGGCAATGTTTATTTTATCTTTTGGATTTTTTGAGACAGCATCTCAGTATGTAGCCCAGGCTGATATGATCCTCCTGTCTCAGCCTCCCAGGTGACAGGATTATAGATGGGTGTCACCAGGCCCCAGCTTTTACTTTTAAATAAATAAACAAAATGGTGATGCTGGGGATCAAGCCCAGCGCTTCATGCTTGCTAAGTCATTGCTCTACCATTGAGCTATGTGCCCAGCTGAGTAGCTTCCTTGATGTATGGCACAATGTGATATCAGCTCATATGTAACACCCCCACACACACTGGAATTAGTCATTTCTCTGAAAAGCACACATAGCACACATGAGGTCCTGAGTTCAAACTCCAGTGCCACCAAAAAAAAAAAAGGACAGTGTTAGGGTTTGAATTCTGAACCCCATACTTGCTACCTGGGTGCCCTTAACATTTGAGCCACTCCACCAGCCCTCTCTGTAGTACTTTTTATCTTAGAATATATTTACTAACATGACTGCTTTCAAATGTAATTAAAATCATTCTTCTCTTTACACGAGTATGTTAAGTTTTGATAAAATACTAAGTTTAGCTCAGCTATTCAGGAGGTGGAAGAATCACTGGAGCTCAAGATTTCAAGACCAGCTCCCCCACCAAAAAGAAAAAGAAAGAAGGAAACACACTATGTAATAATAGTGTCATAATATGTAATAAAAATATTATTTGTTTCCTGTCTTTCAGTTTGGGAATATAATAAACTCAGTCTTCCATACTTGGTGCCCTGTTTTCTTAAAGAGAAATGTCCAGAGCTCACACCTGTAATCCTAGCTACTCAGGAGGCAGAGATCAGGAGGATCATGGTTCAAAGTCATCCAGGGCAAATAGCTCATGAGACCCTATCTCAAAAAAACCCCTTCACAAAAACAGTAGGGCTGGTGGAGTGGCTCAAGGTATAGGCCCTGAGTTCAAACCCCAGTACCTCAAAAGAGAGAGAGAGAAATGCCCAGTGTCTGAAAGTTTTGTGGTATGCTACTACAAATTGCTGTTTGAAGACAGATGAAAAACACTCTAGAGGTCAAATGCCCCAATCCCCTACTTCTAGGTAAGGGGCTGGGGGGTAGCGTGCAATTGTCTAGTAAGCAAGAGGCCCTGGGTTCCACCCCCATCTTTGGATAAAACAAAACAATAAGCAACAACAAAACCTCCACCTTCCATCTTTTCACTAACCTCAAAAGCCTATATTTTCTCCAATTCGAAATTAATCTCAGCTGGGTGTGGTGGCACATGCCTGTAATCCCAGCACTTGGGAGGCTGAGACAGGAGGCTCTTGAGTTCCAGGCCAGCCTAGGTTGAATAGCAAGTTTGGGCTGCATAGCAAGACCTTGTCTAAAAAAAAAAAAAAGAATAAGCCCTTCTACCTTCTTCACAATCCAGCCCCTCTGCTTTCCCCTCTGGCCTTAACTAAGGTCCTGTATTCCCCACTCCAACACCCTCCACATTGTATGTTATTTTTTTCTCAGACTGTATTTTTAGTCTTTCTTTCCTTCCTCTTAGCTCATAAAACTCATTTGTCCCTGCTTAGAAAGTCCTATGCTTGCTTCATCTGTGTCCTTCTCCCAATGGCCAAAGGTCTGGAAAGGTTTTCCCCATGTTCACACTTCTTCTTAACCTCCTTTTCTACTGCCTGCTAGGGCTTGCCATGACCACTCTGAAACTCACCACATGCAAGGAAAACTCACTTTCTTGGCGCACTCCTTTTCCTTTTGGTGGTGCTGGGGTTTGAACTCAAACTCTGGGCCTCATGCTTGCTAAGCAGATGCTCATACCGCTTGAGCCACTCCACCAGCCATTCTTGACTCTCTTAACTTTCTGGAACCTGTCTTCTCTTTTTCACATCCTCAGATCACTAACTGTCCATTACCAGCTATTGCCTTTGTGGCTCCTCTGGGCTGCTGTATCTGAGGGTCCCTCCGCTCCAGGCTCACTGATGTGACAGTCGGTCTTCTGTAGTCTACGCTGCTTCATTGTGACTTCACTAAAAAGGTGGGCGATTTGTCTGGCCATAGCCAAGGTTGGGATGGAATTTCAATAGTTCCTACTAACTACAAATTAAAATTTCTTGAGGTGGTACTGGTGTCCTTAGGGATGGTGCTGTTCTGTACACATACATCCTTTTCTCTGCTAGCACCCTCTCCCCTCAAGCACACTGTAGCACACTGCAGCACAGGAGCTCCAACCCTGCTGGGCATCTAGCTGCCCTCCCCTTCTAAGTCCAGATGCTTCTGTTGAAAATGAACATTCTGGAGTGGAAGCCCGGCTCAAGCAGGAGAGTACCTGCTTTGCAAGCATGAAACCCTGAGTTCAAACCCCAGTCCTAACAAAAATAAAAGATAAAAAAATAAAAATTGGGTTTTGGTGGCTCAAGCCTGTAACCCTAACAACCAGGGAAGCAGAGATCAGGAGGATCACAGTTCTAAACCAACCCAGGCAAACAGTTTTCCAGACCCAACACAAAAAAGGGACTAGGGGTATCATGCCTGCCTAGCAAGCATGAGGTAACACCAGTGTTACCAAAAAAAAAAGCTTCTTTCCTAAAAATGGGTTTATCTTTTATTTCAGACTTAAAATTTCTTGGTCCATAAGTTTCTGCCATTTAAATGACCTTGATGGAAAATGTGTGTCAATGTGAGAAATTTTGAGATGGGGGCAGAGGCTGGAGATGGAAAGTCTCAAAATGAAACAGGATAAGGCAACAGCAGATTAATTCCATGTGCAGTCACAGTCTTTAATTTCTTTAAGATATGTCAAGAAAGACTATTAAAGCACAAAGAAAAAATTAAAATTCCCTATCATCTCGCCACTCAGTGAGAGATGATTTATTCACTCACCTATTCACCAGGCACTCACTATGCTGCAGGTGTTGTGCAGGCCACTTGGGACACCAGCACCCAAGAACTACATATGGACCTGACAGACATCCATAGCAGGCAGGGTCAGAACACTGCGACCTTAGAGTCAAATCCCCAAGAACACTGCTGGGGTGCAGGTCAAGGCACAGTGCCAGAGGCCCTGGGATGATCCCCAGCAAGCTAAAAACAACAGAGTAAATGAACACGGAACAGCCACATGTGTCACTCACACATTTTCCCTGGCTACTTTCTACACTATAACAGCACAAGTCAGTAGTTGGAACAGAGATCGCCCAGCCCCCAAATCCTGAAATATTAACTATTTGGCCTTCTATAGAAAAAGTCTGCTGAGCCTTGCCAGCATGAAGTCCTGTGCAAAAGACATTTGTCATATTGGTTTTCTGTGCAAGGGACTTTGTCACAGTGCTCAAATGTTTATTTTATTCATTTAGCAATACTGGGGATTGAACCAGGGCCTCGGGCATCGTGTGCTACCACTTGAGCCATGCCCCCAGCCCTTTTGCTTTGTGTATCTTGTTTTTGAGATACGATCTCAAAAAAGCTGGACTGGCCTCCAGCTTAATACCTTCCTGTCTCTACTGCAGAGTACCAGGGCTTGCACACAGGTGTGTACTACCACCCAGCTCTCAAGACTCAGTTACTGAATGATTTAAAACTATTCTCAACTTTTTGTTCTTCCCTCTCTGCCTGCCTCCTCCCTTCCTTCCTGTCCTTGTTTGTTTTTGGTTTTGCAGTCCTGAGGATCAAACCCATGCTAGCCAAGCGCACTACCTCTGTGCTGTACCCCCAGCCCTTAAATGCCTTTTTCTGTGGTTGCTCTGATAGAAAAATATTTGATTTGCTGGGTGCCGGTAGCTCACACCTATAATCCTAGCTACTCAGGAGGCAGAGATCAGGAAGATTGGGATTCAAAGCCAGCCCAGGCAGATAGTGAGAACTTATCTGGAAAACACCCATCACTAAAAAGGGCTGTCGATGTGGCTCAAGTCATAGGCCCTGAGTTCAAGCCCCAGAACTGTCAAAAAAACAAACAAAAACAATTTGCTATTCAACCTAGGCTAGCCTGGAACAAGAGCCTCTTGCCTCAGCCTCACAAGTGCTGGGATTACAGGCATGTACCACCACACCCAGCTGAGACTAATTTTAATTACAGGTGTGAGCCACTGGCGCCTGGCTTTCAAAGTTAATTTCAATGAAACAACACAGCCCAATAAGACACACTTGTCACATTAAATCATGAAAGATTATGTAAAAATTTATTGAAAGTTTCTCAAGGATGAAGAGGAAGATTTTTCACTATATATTATAACACAAACAATCTGAATATTCTCCCTGACCCTACTCTGCCCACAAAGTTCTACTGCATAAAGTTGGCCCTGTTTTTTTTGGCGGTACTGGGGTTTGAATTCAGGGCCTCACACTTGCTAGACAGATGTATTACCACTTAAACCACTCTACCAGCCCTACTTTGTGTTGGGTATTTTCAAGATAGTGTGAGAGATCCTATCTGCCCTTGCTGGCCTTGAACCATGTTCCTCCTGATCTCTGCCTCCTGAGTAGCTAAGATTACAGGCCTGAGCCACAATGCCCAGGCCCCAGTTTTTCCTAATCATAAAATCGCAAACCTCTGCTTTTCTCTTTACCACCCCCTCGCCTTTCATCCTCAGCCTCTATTCCTTCCCTCTGCACCCTTTCATCCTTTGAGTGGATGTGTTGCCAAGGATCAAACCCAGGGCTTCTTGGAAATGTTTCTTAAATGAATCCTTGGTGTGCCCGTTTTCTTCTAGTTTTATAATCTGATATCTTCACAATATTCTAGAAGACAAGCTAATCATGGCGGTACCTTATGGATGCCCAACTGAGGCTCCACTTCAAATTAATCAGCATGAACTTGAGAGCCCTGGTCCACTGCTCCTCCGTGTTCAGATGGGTCCTGATGGAGCAGCACTCCCCACTGCCCAGGGCATCCTCCATCAGTCCTCCCTTCACGTGGATCGTGTAGGGCAAGCAGAGACCCTCCTTGCCCTTCTCTGCCTCCTCCTTGAACTGCTGCATGCAGTCCAGGAAGGCCATCATCGCACGGTCAAACTTGTTATTCAAGAAAACATTCTGGCTGCCATCAGAGAACAGGGGCAGCCTCGCACAGTCACCTGTCAGAGACTTGAGGTAGGAATGGTTTCCGCAGGCAACGAGCTGATACCTCTGAAACTTCAGTCCAACCGTGTTGGACAGGGCAAGCAGCAGCAAAGCCACCTGTCCCCAGGCAGCGTTGATCTCTTTCCAGCCCACGGGGACACCGGGGAGACAGCCCAACCTGAAGTTATTGATGATGCCCAGGGGGCCCTCCTCCCAGATCTCAAAGGTGGCATTGAAGATGTCCGTCTGCCTAAGCCTGTGCAGGTGGTGTTGGGCATGCCTCAGCTGGTTCTCCAGGCTGCTCAGCTGGTCAGTGAGCTCCAGCTGTTGCCACTTGAGTGCACTGTAGTCCTTATGGTGCTGCCTCTCCTGCTGGCGCAGCTCCTTGGTCTCTGCCTGGGCTGCCCTCAGGTCTGCTTCTGTTTGCACACGGCTCTCCTCCACGGCCTCCAGCTCCTGAGCCAGCCTAGCCTCCTCCAGCTCCAGGCCCTGCAGCTCTGTCTGCAGCTCCATCTGCAAAGCCTTCTTCTCGGCCTCACCCATCAGCAGGTCAGTCTCCAGGCAGCGTCTGTAGTTCTGACTGTCAAGTTCAACAAAGGTTAACTCGGTGTCCAGCTGCTTTAAAAGATTGTCAGTGCACTCCTCACACAGCGGATGGTCCACATCTTTCTGTCCTGAGAGGATGTCAAACAAGTCTGCAGTGGTCTTCTGGACACTGCTCAAAGTTCTTATGGAGACAGCATGACCGAGGAGAGTGAAGTGGTCGACACTTTTCTTGAACTTCCTGCCACTGTCAGAAAGGAGTCTGCTGGAGGCTCTGGCTTGTGGCTCTCCTCCATCTGTCATCCCTCTGGATGGGCCACCCTCCTCCAGGGCATCTGCTGGCCCCCGCTGTGCTGAGTCCTGCACCTCTGTGGGCTGACTGAGTTTCAGAGGCTGACAGCAGCGCTGGCACAAGAAGCGCATTGAAGACATCATAGAGGTGCTGGCTCTCACCTTGCCACCTCAGTTTCCTCTGGTTCCTTGGTCACTTAGTTTCTGGAGAGTGACTCGTTTTAAATGCCTCTCTCCCCTCCCTTGTCACTCTCAGACTTAACACCTTGCAGTGGTGCCCTTCTAGGTTGCTCTAGACCTCCTTTTGCTCCCCATAGGCCAGTGGCTCTTTCTAAAAGGAAAATCTGATCATCTCATTTTCTTCCCTTAACATTTTCAAGACTCACCTTAAAAGTGATCTTTCTAAACCAAAAATCTGATCATGACTGTCCCACCTTAAAAATGTTTAATTCTCTTATCTCACTTAAGATAAAGTCTAATCACCTTAAACTGACACTAAGGCCCAGCCCATACTTCTCCTGTCTCCTCCATGTCCCTGCATACTACTTGCATTTTAGTTCTTCGAGCGGATCATGCTATTCCCTTTATCCCAAACACACTTTCTTCCCTTCTTCACCTGGCCAGCTCCTACTTATTCTTTAGGGCTGGGGTAGATAGCATCTCCTCCAGGAGGCCTGCCCTGACCTCCAGGTTTAGACTACTCTCATGACACACTTAGCATTCTTTATCACAGCAATGTCATGGGCATACATGGGCATACACAGTTTGGAGGTATGTATTTCACCACCAGCTCAGCCACAGGCTAAGATATTCTGCCTTGTAATTAACAAGACAAACATACCAATCAAAAAGAAGCAAAGACATTGACTTCAGTCAGTCAGCCCCAGTGAAGCACATATGTTGGCCTGAGATACTTGTTCTAAATCAAAAATCTCAGCCTCTACCGTGCTCCTAACGACCTGGTGAGGAAGAACACTACCTAAACACACATGGGAGAATCCGGTTCTTACATTACCAGTAGACCCAATGAGGGGCAGAAAGCCAGCCATAACCAATGGCAGGAGGAGGAGGCTCATTGCTGGGAGGAGGCAGAAAGCCATCCTTCAGATTCACTGGGGAGTGACCTTGGTCTCCACAAGTTTAAGCACATGGGGCAATTGTGCTACACTGGGCCACATGCTGAGGAATGCAACTCTAGGGAGGAAACCACTCCCCATTGGTCACCCTTCACTGAAGTCTTCAAACCCCAGTTAGACTGAGTCGCTACCCTGGTGGAATCGGCGATTTATATCTGTTCACTACTTGATCCTTCCTCCAGCTCTTGCTGTATCCTGAGCCCCAAACCACTGGGAGGTGGGAACACCGTGAATATATCCCTACTTCACAGTGAAGAAACTAAGTGTAAGTCAGGTGCTGGTGGCTCACGCCTGTAATCTTAGCTACTCAGGAGGCAGAGATCAGGAGGATCACGGTTTGAGGCCAGCCTGGGGCAAATAATTCAAGAGACCCTATCTTGAAAAAACCCATTAAAAAAAAAAGGTGAAGGGCTGGTGGAATGGCTATGGCTCAATGTGTAGGCCCCGAGTTCAAAACCCAGTACTGAAAAGAAAGAAACTAAGTGCAGAGAAATCAATAATTATTCAAAAAGTCTCTTAGCCCTCAGGACCTCTGCAAAATATTCCTGAATCTATAAAGAATAGGAGTGTCCTCTAGAAGTTGACTGCAGGGTCCACTTTCCCTTCACAGGTCACTCGGTATTCCCAGAGCCTGTCAAGGGGGCCAAACAGGCAACCCTGTGGTTGGTGAGGAGACAGATTAGTTGCTCAAAGTGCTTTAAACAATAATCCGGTGACAGTCATGAATTTAGCAACAAGAAGTTCACGCTGCCATAAAGGGATGCCTGATGTCTTCTAGTCTATGGCCCAGTTGGAAGAGATCCCCATCAAGCCTGCCCTTCCTCCGTTATACTTCTCCCAAAAGGGCTGGGCAGCAGCAGAACAGGACTGGAAGTACCCTCAAAGTACTGGTCAGTTCTGAGTCTAGATTCATCCCTGGGGGTGAAATGGTAAGGCTTAGCTGGTCATGGATAAGCCTATTTTGGTTCACTAAAATTAAAGGAAAACCCAAGCCACACCTGGCTGTGAGTTTGAATCTGACCACAAGGACAATTCTTCAAACAGATGAAGAGAACAGGTAAAAGGCAGTAGGAATTGCTTCCGACCACTCTGAGTTATGTAATCGAATAATGCATACAAGATCATCCAAAATCCATCTCAAAGCCCTTCTTCAGTGAGGAAGTAGACGAGCCTGGAGCACTGCTCTCAATTGGAAAGAAAATCTCTTCTGGGGGGAGAAATGACCCAAACAATGTATGCACATGTGAATAAATGAATAAAAAAAGAAAATCTCATTTCTGGAGATTTCCCCCCAATTCCTGCCTCTTCCTTCCAAGATGGGCTTTGTGAGGCTGGGGAGGTGCCCACAAGGAGGACTACAGATTGGAGAGTGAGGCAGGCAGGGTTTTGTTACTGCTACATTGCTAGCAGTAACAAAGGGATCTTCATTCCTTGCTGGTTTGCTTGGACTCTTTGCCTATTCTTTCTCATTATTTCCAATTCCTGTCTCTCTTTTTAAACTCAGGGTCTTCACCTTGAGCCACTCCACCAGTCCTATTTTTGTGAAGGTTTTTTCAAGATAGGGTCTTGCAGAACTATTTGCCAGGGCTGGCTTTGAACCTTGATCCTCCTGATCTCTGCCTCCTGAGTAGCTAGGATAATAGGCGTGAGTCACCGAGCCTATTATCCTAGGTGCCTGGCCTTTTTTTTTTTAATGGAACTGGGGTTTGAACTCAGAGCTTCATGCTTGCATAGCAGACAATCTATCACTTGAGCCACGCCTTCAGTCATTTTGCTCTGGTTTTTTCTTTTTGGAGATGGGGAGTCTGATGAATTATTTGCTGGGGCTGGCTTTGAACCACAATTCTCTCTATTTCAGTCTCCTAAGTAGCTAGGATTACAGGTGTGAGCCACTGGTGCCCGGCTCAATTTCTGTCTTTCTTAAACCCACTCTACTGCATCTTCACCATCCCATAGAAACTCTTCCTTACCAAGGTCACAAATGTTATCAGTGTCACTAAATTTTTAACCTCAGCGGACTAGAAAGCAAAGTCTCCTCCTACAAGTGAGGATGGGAGTGAAGACAGAAGAGAATTGAGAGGCTGGCTGGTCAGCTGGAAAGGTCCATGGCTGTCAGGATTGGGGGTACATCATAGCCACGCGCATGTGAGTCGTCACATGGCAGGACTAAGCCAGGGAGAAGTTGTAAGTGGGGGCTGGTGAGGAAAGGTGGCTGCATTACATGATAGGAGGAAAAGACAATGATGGTCACAGTTCTTAATTTCAAAAACTTAGGAGCCAGGGTGTCAGAGTACCAGTGAAAAGTATAGGAGGTATTTGGGGGTGGATGCAATGGGGATGATGGAGGACTTTCGCCCTCCCTCTCAACATCCCCCTTGTGTATATCTTTCCTCTTCTTCCCCTTTGACTCCTCCAGGTACGTGATGCTGTCTGTTGGAGTCAGTCTTGGATTCTAATCTTGATTCAGTAACTGGTTACTTAACCCCCAGAGTGATCAGAATCTTCCTCTGAGAATGAAATGAAACCGAAGCCATCTTGGAGGACACCTTGGCTGGTAAGAGGAAGCTTAGAAACTCAATTTCCTCATCCTGTGTAGGTAGGTTGTCCTACACAGACAGCTAATTCCTGCTTTCTCCTTCCCCTGTCCTTCTTGAAACTTCTCTACTTACCGTTTCCAATTCACTCCTTAAACTTTTGCTACCTGGCTTCTGATTGTTAGTAGAACAAACAAATGATTTGTGCCCCAGTCAGCAATGAAATCTTTTCTTTCTACTTTTTTCTCATGTCAAAGAGGTAACATGTTGACAAGGTTTGAGAGAGGCACATGTCACCAAAATGTGTGGCCACCCAATCATCACACTTATGAAGCAAAAAAGGAGTGATGAATCATAAACAACACACCCCCAAACCTCTTTTCAGTCCTCTTTGGGGTTTTTTGGTGGTCGCTGGGGTTTGAACTCAGGGCCTCACACTTGCTAGGCAGGCACTCTACCACGTGATCCACTTGATCAACCCTATTTCTTTTGTGTTGGGTAATTTTGAGATAGGGTCTCAGTTTTTTTGCTGGGGCTGTCCTCAAATCTTGATCCTCCTCAAATTGCCTGGATCTTCAGTGCTCTTTTTGATTGACTTTTCTTTCTTTAACATTTGAAGTAATTACCATATTCCTATTAAAAGGACAAGAAAAGAAACCCTTATTTGGAGCTAGGAACCAGTGGTCCACTATAACCCTTGGGAGGCTGAGGACAGCCTGGGGAAATAGTTTGTGAGACTCTATCTCCAAAATAACTAGAGCAAAATAGACCAGAGGTCCATTTTGTATGCTCATAGCAGCATTATTCTACGATAGCTAAAAAATGGAAACAACTCAAGAATCTGTCCATCCATGGACGGAATATGGCACCTACATATAACCAAATATTAGTCAGCCATAAGGAAGGAAATTCTGACACATGCTATGCATGTGTCATACATTTGCTCAGTGAGATAAGTCAGTCCAAAACAATGCTGCATGGTTTTCCTTATCTGAGGTCAAGTTCACATAGTCAGAAGGTAGACTAGATATTTCTGGGGCTGAGCTGGAGGAAAGGGTGTAATGGATGTGGAGTTTTGTTTAGGGAGCTAAATTAAAAAGTGCTGGAGGATGGATGGAATTGGAGAACATCATTCTGAGTGAGGTTAGCCTGGCTCAAAAAACCAAAAATCGTATGTTCTCCCTCATATGTGGACATTAGATCAAGGGCAAACACAACAAGGGGATTGGACTATGAGCACATGATAAAAGCGAGAGCACACAAGGGAGGGGTGAGGATAGGTAAGACACCTAAAAAACTAGCTAGCATTTGTTGCCCTTAATGCAGAGAAACTAAAGCAGATACCTTAAAGCAACTGAGGCCAATAGGAAAAGGGGACCAGGTACTAGAGAAAAGGTTAGATCAAAAAGAATTAACCTAGAAGGTAACACCCACGCACAGGAAATCAATGTGAGTCAATGCCCTGTATAGC